TGAATTACCCTTAATATCCAAAAGCAGGGCTGCTTTTAATTTTAAAGTAAAGATTATTTTATTTTCCTTTTGCTCATGGAAGCCTAAATGGCAATCTTCAGCCCCACAGTACTCACAAAAGTCTGAGAAAAGTTTATCCCTTTCAATATTAATTAACACTTCAATACCACAGCAGCGAAGGCAAAGTTTCTGCCATGGCTTCTTCCCATTTCCGCTCGGTCTGCCTTTGACTTTTGGCCCTGGCCAAACAAAAACTTTTGTGCCTAAAAATTTGACTATGAAAATGTCTGGCACTGCAGCCGCACACAATTTCCACGCTGACACTAATTAACAATTAGGCGCATCTTAGCGGCTCCCAGCCATTTCCAATTCTCCGAACTCGCAGCGACTTAACTTTTGAACTACTTACAAGGCTAATAACTAATTTACTTCTAACTTCGGCTTAGCGCTGGGCCAGGCTCGCATTTCGTGAGTTTGTCCCCAGCCTATAGTCGAGTTTTACGCTTATTACTGAAGAATTTCAAACTGACACGACTGACAAATAAACTCCAAGCTCAAAGTCGCCGGAAGCAGGCCCAAAGGATTCGCGCAACAATGGCAACAAAAGGCGAAAAGAGCACAGTTTTGTTGGGGGGAAGCTGGTGGTGGGACATGGAAGCTCAGCCTGTGCTGAGTTATCTCTAGTCATATTTAAACGTCAAGACCGGGGCCAGACTTTTGACAATTGCCACACAATTGTCGGGGCGACGTCACCAACTGTTTGCCACCGCTGAGGGACTCATAAAGGCAGCGTTTAGCTTATTTGCTGTATAAATACTGACACCTCCGTTTGGCTGTGCGGGGGCTGACTTTCAGTCTTTCAGACTTTCAGACCGCCAGTCTGTCTGCCGTCTGAGTGCCATAAAAACGGGATGTCGACGTTGCCTGCAGGCACACTTGGCCCAGATGAGGCGAAACAATTGCCGGCAATATTGATGGGCCAGCCAGGCATTTGCAACATCTGATCCCAGTGATTGGGCCCAACATATGGCGTACGAATTGGAGTCATTTACATTTTAATCAAAGCTTCGCAGGCGAATGAATTCCCCAGCCCCAGGCCTCAAGACTCCACCCCTTCTTTTCTGGGTTCCCAGGAATGTCCGGAATATTTTTACATTATCCTCGTTACATGTCAAATGAGTGTCACTAATTACATATTAATTAGTTTCCTTTTACCAGTCACTCATTTGCCCACTCCCCGGGCAGCCACATCATCAATCAAACGGCAACTAGAGTGGAGTGCTCTAATAAAATGTAGAAAAATGCAAATGAAAAACTACTTAAGGCTTAGGGCCAAAGTGCTGCCTGCCTTAATCAATGAACGTATATGTTTCTAATTAAATTTTCATTACAAGCTGCTAAGAAAATCGGGCATATCAACATTAACTGTTGGGCAGTATTAAGTATACGATCTGGTGCCCATCTACCCATTTCCTGCCTAAGTAATTACAATTTCAATAATTTATAGCAAAATAAACGTGGTCCGACGAGATACAAACATTCGAACATAAATACAGGATGACAGTGATTTTGGGGGTTGAGCGGGTAGATTTTGTTTTCAATCAATTTTTGCCAAGCAAATATTATTTCAAGACAAGACGAGTGCTGTCTTTCACAAAGTTTTGTAATTATAACGGAGAGCCCGAAAATCCCCACAAAATAATTAATAACTTAAACATATTTACATAGCATTTTGAGCTATCTGCCGTAATCAGATTAAAACATTTTCAGATATGAATTGGTCGCATTACGGTAGGATATTCATTTGCAGCTGAGTTGGTACTCAGAATGCTGGCTAAGCTGTGAAAATTAATGGAGTATTTATTTGTTTGTTTAATGATTTATTAGCTGCAATGAAGAAGATTGAGCCAAATCCCCCCCAGCAAAGACGGCAGTTGAGCGGAGAAATTTAAACTTAATGCGCACACCTGATGCAGTTTCGCCTCCGCTCTGATGTATTCAAAGAGCCCCATCCTTCATTCGCAGGAAGAACTAATCCTCAGACGCTCATTAGCAGCCATTAAACGTCAATTTACATGTCAATTGGCAACAGTGCCCACCCAGCCAGTCAAAGGAAGCCAGCCAGTACAGTAAAAAACAGCTATGGAGGCGGGAGTTCGGGGACACATGAGCTTTGAGCTTTGACTTTCGCTTTGTCAGCCACTTTGTGTTTAGTTTCCCTTATTTTTTTTGTGTTTTGTCCTCTGGCGCCGCTGTCTCCACATTTTTTGTATTATTCATAGACGCGACTGGCTTTTTCACCTTTGGCCAGGACTTAAAATACAATTACTTGTCCCTGGAGAGGGAGGAAAAGGCATTGAAGATGCAGCTGTATGCTGGATGCTGGCTGTAGGATCCTGAATCCTGAATCCGGGATGGGAAGATAAGCAAAAACATAACGTGCAACAATTAGTGGCCTGTCCTTGCCGTCTCACCAGTGCAGCACATGTACAAAAGTTGCCATGTGGTTAGCTAATTTAATTTGGCTTTCTTTTTGCCGCCGCCGCCCCCCATTTCTCTTTGGCATCCTTTGGCGGCATCAAAGACAACGACACGTTAATGACTTCTTTTGCCGTGGCCGCACAGCACAGCACAGCACAGTCAGGATGGTGAGCAGGCATAAAAATAAAATCTAAAAACCGCCACACACATGGCTAGCCTTTGCTAGAATCACAAGGACGAAAAACCCCTTAGCAGGAGCCACTTAACTTGTCTATATGAGCCTAATGGCCTTTAATATTATTTTCACTGCTCTTTCCTTTAGCCGAGAGACCGAAAAAAAAGTTAAAACAAAAAAAAATAACCGAGAAAAACGAGGAAAGTAAGAGGAAAATGGGAGAAGAGGAGAAGAACCAAAAGGGAATCACTGAAAGCCCTGTGTGCATTTTATCCCTGCCGGTCTGTGTCGTTGCGCCCCAGGTAATTGTAGAAAATTGCTGCAACGCCAGGCTAAACATTGTGCAAATCCTTTTGTCCTGACCTTCCATTCTCCCCCGTCCCCTGTTTTCTTATCCCACCCTGTATGCTTTTTTTTTTCGGCCGCAACTGTTAACAGCCAGTTGAACTATGCCATTTCATATGTACAACAGCAGGCGCCGCAAAGTATGCTGCACTATTTTTACCTTGTCCTGGCTTGAAACCCCATCCCGTCCAATTCAACGTGCTTTACATTTTTATTAAGCCAACCCTTCTTCTTGTTGTTGCTTAGCATGCCAGGGGCGTTGTTTGGCTTATTGCACGTGCTTGGCAAAACGGAGGGAGGTGGGGGAAAAAAAGGAGAGCCGGGGTCCGGACGATAGGACGGTATGGAACCCAAATGCCATTAGGCTTAACCCGGACACAAGACAATTGCCTGCAGGCCATGTGCATGGGTCCAACGTGTCGTATTAGTTATTTTCTACTTCGATTGCTTTTGCCACTTTAACGCGACAGCAGCTGGCTGGGACTGGTTGGACTGGCTGTCTGTGGCAAGTGTTTTGCCAATTATGTGACGCTCAATTTTCGATATGATACGAGCGTCTGGGGTTTGGGGCAGCAGCTTATATCCTTTTTGAAAGCGAAAAATGGGAAATAAGAGAGAGAGAGAGAGAGAGAGAGAGAGATAACGAAGACAGCTGCCTTATCCATTTACCAGTAGATATTGATTAGATTCTAGCGAATCTCTTGCTGATCACCACCACCGCCACCACCACCAGTCATCTATCGCTCTCACCCCACCTAGCCTTAAAAAATAGACTCTAAGTAGTTTTAAGCCATACATTTCCTCATGCTCGCCCGTAATTTTACCAACTCTTTTTTCAAGTAGTGGCTAGCGTGTTCAATTACCTTTCGATGTCTATCCTTAACTCAGTAGCTCTGTGCGTGGCCAGCTTGTAAGTGTGTGTGTGCGAGATGAGATGGTTTGCTTGTGTGTGCGTGGCTGTCTGTTCTATATATACAAATATAAATATACATACCTATAAATTACGTATTTGAATAGCTAAATTCCATTTCTGTAAGTTGTAAGTTAAACAAAAAACAAATTGTACGACAATTTTAACTAAATATCACCCATTTTTATCTTCTTTTCTTTCCTTTTTATGTAACACTTGTTCGTGCTCTATATCAAATATATATGATTGAAACGAAAAAAAAAATGAATACATCAAAATTGGCAAAATTGGAAAACTGACAATTATTCTCTTATTATTTTCAAAAACTAATTTCACCTTTTTTGTGATTTAATTCGTGTTGTTTTGATTTGGTTCGGTTTTTTTCCATATCGAAATTTCTACCTTCTTGATGCAACAATTTCAACAAAAAATTTGTTCCGCTTATAAAATCAAAATTTGTACTCCCTCTTCCCAACCCCAAAAAAAACCTAACCACATTAATAAATGTTGTAATTGTATTTGCTCTATTGGTGCTCAAACTATCCACCCAAACACCAACGAATTTCTCCTTAAATAAATGTTGTTGCTTTTACTTTTCTTTGGGTATTTTGCGCCTGTTAAAATTTGAACAAAAATTACCAAACAAAAAAAAAAACAATTACGTAAATGTGCCTGCTGCGTTCGTTACTCGTTACAAAAAAAAAAATGTTGCGTAATGTGTAACCCTGTTGCATTTACATCTCTCTTTATACGACACACTCACATATTATGATCGAGAATATATATATTTTTTGCGTATTCATTTTTCGGATTTCACTTTAATTTAATGCGAATTTTCTCTGGCTATGGCTTCTTGATTGATAACTTATCATTTTCACAAAACACGATCGAACACTTTGCCACTCACAACAAAAACACACATTGCCACTTGTCCATTTTGCCGTCTCTTTTGGTGCAACAAAAAACGAAAACAAAAATCAAAATCGTAAAACGTAAATCGTAAATCAATCGTAAATCAATCAAAATCAATCGGATCGATCGAACCACATGACATGACATGAAACATGAACAAACCCGAAACCCAAACAGAGCATTTAGATCGCAAGCTGTTCGTTGGCATGCTCAGCAAACAACAGACCGAAGACGATGTTAGACAAATCTTCCATCCGTTCGGCACTATAGAGGAGTGCACCATACTGCGTGGCCCGGACGGAGCTAGTAAAGGTGAGTGTTTCGATTATTTAACCTATATCCTATATATACCTATCTACAGCTATATCCAGCTCAGTTTCCCCCACCTAAGATACTGTTCATATTAAGTATACGTGACGTGTTCGGCTCGTTATCTGTTGTATTTTCCAGTTATTTGATTAAACTTAAGATTCTGTTGATCGTTTTGGTTGTGCGTAGTCATGCTAAGAGTATTTTAGTTTGAAAATCGTCTAAATCGATGTCTCATAGCTTATGCAATCTTTAGCTGGAGTTGATAGTATGAAATCTTAATGTGGGTATACTAAGTATACGTAACGTGCTCTGCTATTTTACTGTTGGTGATTCATTAGCAAAGATTGTGTTGATTGTGTTTTAGATTTAAAATCGTTTTAATCCATGTCTTATAGCTTGTGCAATTTTAGGCTGCAATAAATACAATACAATAAATACATGATAAATGGGTAAATTAAGTATACGCAGTTTTCTAGTATAATTCCTATTTATTTTGGCATTAGCTTTATTGAGAAAATTTACGAATAAAATCATGAACAATCGTTGTCGTGTAGTTCGTGCTGGGAATTATTCGCAGAGTACAAGTTCTGATAAATATGGCCAACTGATAATGTCCCATTCAAATGTGGGCAGCTGTGCAACGAGCCAAATAATCATCACAAACCATAACCATAACAATTACACAGAGTTCGGCGAGAGTTTTGGGGGGCTTTGAGGTGGCATAAAATAAAAATCGGGTAAACAGTTCAATTAAAGTTGTTTGCTTTTGGCAGTGCTGCTCGTTTCACACGCCGGCCATTTGCATTTGTATGCGGCATTTGCAAGTAAAAATACGCACACACAAACACACACAAACACACGCGCAGAGGGCAAACAAATGGTGTATAAAAATAAAAAAAAAAAAGACGAGAGATAGAGGCAGTGGGAAGTTTCGTTTGTTTTAATATGCAAGTAACTTTTTTAACAATAACATTCCATTTTATTATGTCAAAAGTTTTGGTTTTACAAATACACACACACACTCAGATACGCACACACCCACTTAGATACACAAATACACTGGCAAACACTCGGTCTGGGAGTGTAATTGTGTCTTTGTTATATATTTTTATTTTGCTTACATTTGCAACATTTTTGACTGCCGCCTTTTGTCGTCCTCGTCGTGTGCGTATGTATTTCCATGTTAATGTTTGTTATTGTTGTTCTTTTGTTGGCGTTTATTGTTGCCATTTTGATATGCATGAAAAGGCAGCGTTCGGCGGTCGGAAGGGGGCGTGGCACATTGGCCATGTGACACTTTGCATAGAAAACCAACGTTCAGGGGTATTTATTTTTGTTTGTTATTTTTGTGTACTCTTTTTGTTTTTTTTTCGCCCCACTCGTTTATTTGTTTAGGGGTTGGAGCTGCACTTAGGCATTAAAATGGAGGTGGGTGGAGTGGAGGTCCTGAGATTTTAGGCCTCCGCCTGCGACAGCCATCAATTTCAAATCAAATCGATGCCTGAAATTTCCACAAATTTGAATAGCTGAAATATCTCACGCATATATATTTTGCCATTCCGCCGCACAGGAATGTCATACGAATCGAAGACAAAGCAGCGACATAATTTGATACAAATTTTCATTTTTCTTCCTCGTCTTGTGCTTTTCACTTCCCGGTTGAACGGGAAAACTTGTTGTTGATGTCGTCGCCCTTCAAACTTCGACAGTGGCTGCGTGCAAAGCCGCGAAAACTGTCAGTCAATGTGGTTAAATGTGGGGCTTGGGGGTTGGAAAATTTCCAGTAGAAGGGGTGGGGGGTGGATGATTGCGGCTCTTGCGGCTGCGATGCCAACATATCATTCTTCATTAAAATGCGCTTCAAAGTCAGCTCAACTGGAGCTGCGCGAGTCTGGCGCTCCTTTTTCGGAGTCGCAGTTGGTGTTAGGAAAGTGACAGGCGCTAGCCTGTGTAAGTGCCAAAATCCATCAACGTCAATGCCTTTTTTTCCTCCTTCTATTCCACTTTTCCGCTGCGAATTATATTCAAAGAAAATCGACTGAGCGGCGAGCGGGGTAATGAGGAATGAGGAATGAGCATTGACTGACTGGGCGAACTGCAAAATGTATGCAAATGATGATGCATGTGGCAGCGAAATGCGGTGACGCCGAATCCGTGGGCGAACAATAATAACTCCAGCCCCTCATCGCCCGATGTCTGTGTGCCTGACAGGCCACAGGAATAAGCGCAACCATCATGTTAAATTATGCAAATTCGATTTCAGTGAGTGAATGAACTGAAACGAGGTAAAGGAAAGGTTTTTCTGGCCGGGGACTTGGGCTGACTTTGAAACTTTTGCCTAGCACCAAACACAAAGCATGTGGCACAGCACTGAGAGAAAACTACACGCAAAAAAATACATGCTAAGAATCACAGCAAAATATCCAATACTTTAGATGGAGAAAGTTCGAGTCCATTTAGGGACTTTTTTTTTACATCAATGATTATTCTTTTGTGTGATGTATAATGAACCCTACAAAATCAGTTTTTAAGAGTATTCAATACGTTATTTCAGGGGTTCAGTATTTTAGCAAAATATCTTCTCCGGGTGTAACCATGTGGCGGAGGCGAAGGAGCCAGGAGCCAGAAGCCAGGAGCCAGCAACCAGGACAGGCTGGCGGCTCATTTGATTAGAATATTCATGCATGCACTTCATTGTCATCAAGGAAGGCTGGCAGGCTGGCAGGCAGCAAAGTTGTCATCTCGTCCTGGGTCTTGTCATCTGTGCAATCAACACAATTGTGTGTCTCCGGGTCTCGCCGTCCCGCTGCCTTTCTGTCTCTCTCTCTCTCTCTGCCGCTATCCCGCTATCCCTTTGTCCCGCTTTCCGTCCGCCGGTAATCAAAGCGCCCAATGTGCGTGGATATGTGGGGATATGTCGGATATGTGAGCAGCAAGGGGTGTCGTCTAGTGCGTTTTGCATAAGTAGCCGCACGAGTGTGGAGAATGGCTCCTGTTGCTGACAGACGGTTGGCGTAAGTTGACGTTGAATGGGCTACGTTAACAGGCTGGCTGGCTGGCTGGTTGGCTTAAAGCGCTCTCGGCCTAATCACTGCGACTGCCGAGCTGTCATTAGGTAATTGCCATCGGAGGGGGCCAGAGCCGGCGCTCAATTAGTTTAAAGAATAAAATACACATACTCCACTCACCCACATTTGAGTGCATAATTTAATTCTCGCTTGAGGCCTTGAGTCGATCGACCTACTACTACACTCAATCGATGGAATTGTCAAGTTGGGCTGCCAAAAACATAAATTGAATTAAAACATCGTTTAGACTCGAAATTAATTCGAAATGTCTCGCTTTGTCAAATTAACTTTTAATTGCCGCAAAAGCCAACAAAGAGACCTCCGAGTCGGTCGTCTTGCAGCTGACACACGAAAACAAATTCCAATTAATTCGCCAGAGATATTTATGTGCGGCTGACACACACAGACGTGCACACTCGAGGACACAACAATGGCGCAACCATGCCGTAAAGTAGACTTCAAATGTTGGCCTGCATTGTCGTCTATCATATCAAAAGCGGCGCAAACCCCATAAATGCCAATAATTAATGTGACATTTTCGGCGTAATTGAGGCAAGTATGCAGCAGCAGCAGCAGCAGCAGCAGCATCGCCAGCCTGTCACAACCACACAAAACGGGCGGAAATGTATCTAGGCATGCGATGCGTGTGTATTTCAAAGCATTCCCCAAAACTGCATGGCATGCCAAGTGGCAAACTGCTCTGTCATACACCATACTGTATACCCCATCTCTCATCAACCCACGCTCTGCTGGCTAATTGAATTTGTGCACATAGCTATAGCGAATTCTACGAGTGGGCGAGTGGAACCGCCCTCCGAAAAAAAAAACCGAGAAAAACGAAACAAAATCGAGTGTGCAACAAAATTTTGTCGCTGCAAGCTCAGGTGCGTGCTCCTTCTCGTGTCTCAGCTTAAAGACCAAATTTATTGCCTGCAAAAAAACGACAAAAAAAAAATAAAAAGGAAAGTTAAGTAGCCTTCACATAATTGCTCAGAGAAAAGTTTTAATACCCCATACTCTGGCTCACCGGGCTTTGCCTCAAACTTTGCAATGACAGTTTAAGTTGTTTTTCAGGCTGTTGCTGCTGCTTTGGCTGCTTTGGCTGTTCCACTTGTTGTTTGGCCAACAAATTTTTACAGCCAGCCATTGTGCGACGGGGGGGTTTAAAGGGGGAATCGGATCCAGGACGAAGCTTCCGCCGGTTGTCAACTCTCACTTGCTCACATCCACATTCACATTCGCATTCACATTCGCATTCACATCCACATATCATCGTGGCAGCTCTCTGGCATCATCATTTCATTTCAATTTCAATTTATATGAGCAAAGTTTTATGAAGTGCATGTCATGCTGCCTGTCGCTTTGCTCTACTCCTGTTTCTATCGACCCACAGCCCAGCATCCACCATCCACCACCCACCAGCCACCACCCACTATCAACCCACCCACTGGCGCACTGCATTTATTAAATTTCATTTCATTTCAGCTCTATACTCATGTTTATTTTACAGCACACTAAAAAGTTCTAACAAGTGCTGATTGAGTGCGCTGCAAAAACTGTCAAACAAACCCGAACAAAAGCCAGAACCGAACCGTTGTAAAACTCAAATTGAATTTAACGCTTATGACATGCGAGAGTTTTGCTTGATTCGATTCTTTATAATAATGGTTAAAAGTGTGATGAGATTTTGGCTTTTGTTGACTTAATCGAAAATGTGTGTACGGAAAGGGGGTTCGGCTGCTAGTAAGCTTTGCTTTGGTTGATACTGCACTGATAGGACAAGTTAACTATGCCCATCCTTAATCTTATTAGGACAAAGTTAGCGCTCTTAGAGCTCTGCATATGCCTTTAGGACCCATAAAACATTGCACTTAATGCGCCTTAATTAAAACAAAACTCTCCCTGCCCTCTCTTCAAGTGCCCGCCGCAGTC